AGTTCTATTTATTTTTATTTTATTTTAAATTTCTGTTAATGTATTTAACATACATAAAATTAACTTAGCCAATATCTTTTATTTATTTATTAGACAGGTAGAGTTATAGACAGTGAGAGACAGAAAGAAAGGTCTTCCTTTTCCGTTGGTTCACTCCCCAAATAGCTGCTACAGCCAGCGCTGTGCCAGTCCGAAGCCAGGAGCCAGGTGCTTCCTCCTGGTCTCCCATGCGGGTGCAGGGGCCCAAGCACTTGGGCCATCCTCCACTGCCTTCCCGGGCCACAGCAGAGAGCTGGACTGGAAGAGGAGCAACTGGGACTAGTACCCGGCGCCCATATGGGATGCTGGCGCCGCCGCAGGTGGAGGATTAGCCAAGTGAGCCACGGCGCTGGCCTGCCAATATCTTATATTAGTCTGTTAGTATCATACTAGTTATAATTTATAAAAATAAATATTCATATGTAGGAGATGTGTGCAGAGTTTTTGTATTTGGTGCATGTAATTTCTTTTAAAATTACTTAAAATTATTTTATTTTTACTTTATTTGAAAGACATAGAGATAGAGATGGACAGATAGAGAGAGGGATCTTTCATCTGCTGGTTCACTTCCCGAATGCCTGTAGCAGTCAAGGCGTGGGCCAAGTAAAACCAGTACCCTGGCGCCAGGAGCCAGCTGGAATTCAACCTAAATCTCTGATATGGGTAACAAGGGCTCAAGTATTTGAGCCATCATTTGCTGCCTCTAAGATAAACATCACCACAAAGCTGAATCACAGGTCGGTGAATCAGGACCCCAACTAGACACTCCAATATGGAATACAGTACACCCAAGTGGTGTACTAACTGCTGCTCCAAATACTTCCCCCTTGCCACTGTTCTTGAAACTTTTTAAGGAATTACTGCATTTTTGTTAGTAAAATTTTTTTCAAATACAGAGACAGACAGAGAGGGAGAGAGCTATTGTTGAAGAGAGGGAGAGACAGAAAGAAGGAGAGAGAGATCAATCTTTCATCTGCTGGTTTACTCCCCAAATGATTGCAACAGCTCAGGGCTGGGTCAGCAGATGTCAGGAGCCTGGAGCTCTATTTCAGGTCTCCCATGTAGGTGTAGAGGCCCAAGCACTTGGAACATGTTGCACTGCCCTCCTAGGTGCATTAGTAGGGAGCTGGATCAGAAGTGGAGGAGCCAGGGACTCAAACCAGTGTCCATATGGGATGCCAATGTGACAGGCAGTGGTCAAACCCACTGTGCCACCTGCCAGCCCCAGTAAAATATTTTGATAACTAATAAATAGTGGAGATTCTCTCAGTCTCTTAACTTCAGAACATTTGTGTTTAATATATCCCTGGTAGATCTAAAACTTGCTGTATATGAATAATCAAAAGTTGGGATAGAAATGCTATTTTCAAAGTCTGTTGCTTAATAATATAAAATTCAAATGTAATAATTGCAAAGAAGTGGATAGGAAAAAATAACTATTTCATTTTTCCTTTCCTTTTTTGGTTCTATTGCAAATGGGCAAGGATAAGTGGAAATTCATGAAGGAAAAAATTAATCATGGAAAGGGTACAAAAATTAAAAATATTTTTTTAAAAAACATTCATTTTAAAGATGCAAATATCAATGTTTAGTCTAATTAACTGATTATACTGGATTACCATTTGTAATTTCTACTAGATCTTTGTTAGGAGTTGTAAGCAAAAGACTGAAAGAATTAGAACTATGAAACTTTTTCTTAATCTTTGTTTTTAGAAGTGCAAAGTCAATTTTAAATTTTATAAATTTTTAAAACTGTTTCTTATATGATTATTCATTTATTTTTCTCTTCCTCTTTCAATTCCTTATATTCAGTCTGCAGTTATAGGATCCAATCAAACAGAAATAATCCCAGATTAAGAGTGAGAGGAAGAACATAAAATCATATGGGAAACTGAGTATAGGAACAAGATTAAAAGTTGTCTGCTTTGATCTTAAAATTCTTCTAAGGTGATAAAGCATGCACCCAGACAACTGTAAGTCTGCAAAGCACCTCATGCACCTTGGCATTCAACAGATATTTATCACATTACTCCTACCATCTGTGAAACACTGTGCTAGGGACAAGTTGAGTGAGTCATATGCCCTCAAAAAGTTTTTTTTTTTAAAGGTGAGGCAGGAAGGCAGACACTAATGAGAACTTTATAATGCACTTGATAATTGCAATCAGGGAGATATATCACTGTTTTAGAATGCAGAGAAGGGTATCTACTTAGCTCAAGATGGGTAGAGAAGGATTCTGTGAAAGGACTACACAAGTTGACCCAGAGTACCTGAATGGATGTTACTGAGGTGATGCGGAGGGTGTTGAACAGGGCAAAGAAATTCAGCCACACGGATGATACAAAGCATAAGGATTTCATTGCCTGCGTGTGACCACAGGGCACTAGGATTTGTACAGGTGAGACATGAGTCAAAAGGAAGGTAGAATGTGGTCAGCTCCCGGAGGGCACCATGTACCACATGAAAGGACTTGGACTTGACCTGTAGTTGATGCGTATGCTGAAGATTAATCTCCTGAGGAGATTTATATTGAAATAATTCCAGGGCTGGCACTGTGGCATAGCGAGTAAAAGCCGCCACCTGCAGTGCCAGCATCCCATGTGGGAGCATGTTCAAGTCCTGGTTGCTTCACTTCTGATCCAGCTCTCTGCTGTGACCTGGGAAAACAGCAGAAGGTGGCCCAAGTTCTTGGGCCCCTGTGCCTGTGTGGGAGACCCAGAAGAAGCTCCTGGCTCCTGACTTCAGATCAGCTCAACTCCAGCTGTTGCAGCCTTCAGGGTGGAGAGTGAACCAGCGGATAGAAGACCTCTCTTTCTCTGCTTCTGCTTCTCTGTCACTATGCCTTTCAAATAGACAACTTTTTTTTTTTTTTTTAAAGAAAGAATTCCAACTGACATCTCTGTAAAGAATGTATTTGTAAGAAGCAAGAATGTGTGCAAGAAAGTCATTTAGGAAAATGTTGCAGTAGTAGAATGACTAGAAGGCTGAACTAGTGCAGTTGGAATCTGGTAGAGTGAATCTGAAAAGTGCCTTAACCACTATGAGTGCTTAATGTGAATACTGATGACTCATACTCCTGTTATTTTCCACTTTTCTTTTTATTTGAAGATTTATTTTTATTTTTGTAAAAGATTTTACTTATTTATTTGAGAGATAGAGTTACAGACAGTGAGAGGGAGAGACAGAGAGAAAGGTCTTCCACCTGCTGTTTCACTTCCCAAATGGTTGCAACAGCTGGAGCTGTGCCAATCCAAAGCCAGGAGCCAAGAGCTTCTTCTGGGTCTTCAACAAGGGTGCAGGGGTCCAAGGACTTGGACCATCCTCCACTTCTTTCTCAGGCCACAGCAGAGAGCTGGATCAGAAAAGGAGCAGCTGGGACTAGAAATGGCGCCTATATGGTATGCTGGCATGACAAGCATTGGATTAACCCACTGGGCCACAGCGCCAGCCCTGAAGATTTATTTTTTAATTCGTCTGAAAAGTAGAGTGACAGAGAGAGGAGGGGAGATCTTCCATCCATTGGTTCACTCCCCAAATGGCCACAACAGCCAGGTCTGGGCCAAAACAAGGCCAAGAATCAGGAACTCTATTCTAGCCTCCTTGTGGGTAACAGGGGCCTCTCTCTGCTACCTTCCCAGGAAGAAGGTAGAATTATCAAGAAGCTGGATTGGGGGATTGGAATTGGCACTCCCATACCAGATGCTATTGTTGCAAGCAGTGGCTTAACCTACTGAGCCACAATGCCAGCCCTATGTTCACTCAAGAAATGTCAGGTACTAAGCTCCAAGATAATAGGGCTCATTCTGTGGACAGGAATTATACTTATGCAGTTTATTTTGATTTCTAAAAGCACATTGGTGAGATTCCTTCTACATGGTCCCCAAGTGGATGCCAGGACATTTAATGAAAGTGCAAAAGATTCTCTGCTTATAAAGTCACAGCTTAAAAATGATGTCTTTACAGTCCCCTAAAGGTGCATTCATGCCAAGTACTTTCTTACTGACATTTTTCTGTGCCCACAAATGTTAGCTGTAACAATCCATTTTTGTTATATTGTCTTTTTCTCAATTTACCATTTATTCCTAATAGCACTTATGCAATAATCATCCAACTGTATATTATGGCTGGTGATCTTAGGTGCTAATGTCTGATTTTTTTAAAGATTTATTTATTTGCTTGAAAATCAGAGTTACACAGAGAGAGAAGGGGAGACAGAGACAGAGAGATATCTTCCATTTGCTGGTTCACTCCCCAGATGGCTGCAATGGCCAGAGCTGCGCAATCTGAAGCCAGGAGCCAGAAGCTTCTCCTGGGTCTCCCACATGGGTGCAGGGGCCTAAGGACTTGGACCATCTTCTACTGCTTCCCCAGGCCATAGCAGAGAGCTGGATCAGAAGTGGAGCGGCCAGGACTCCAACCGGTGCCTACATGGGATGCCAGCACTGCGGGTGGTGGCTTTACCTGCTACACCACAGCGCCGGCCCCTGATTTTTTTTTTTTTTAAGACTTATTTATTTATTTGAGAGGCAGAGGCAGAGATGGAGACAGAGAGAGAGGTCTTCCATCTGCTGGTTCACTCCCCAGATGGTTGCAATGCTGGAGCTACGCCAATCCGAAGCCAGGAGCCAGGAGCTTCTTCCGGGTCTCCCGTGTGGGTGCAGGAACCCAAGGACCTGGGCCATCCTCCACTGCTTTCCCATGCCATAGCAGAGAGCTGGATTGGAAGTGAAGCAGCCGGTTCTCAAACTGGCACCCATATAGGATGCTGGCACTGAAAGCAATGGGTTTACCCACTACATACAGAGCGAGCCCCTTTTATCTGATGTTTTTTATGAAGAAAGTTGGTTAAATTGTGGTATTTACCAATATTAGCTTAATTTCAAAAAGCAAAAATATGTAAAATTTGATGATCTAACTGGATTGTAACCTTTTCTGATTCTTCACATTTTTTTTATTCGCAGGAAAGAGAGCTTATCAGAGTTTCTTCATAAACTTGTGTTAGAAATAACATCGTACTTTAATCAGAGATTTGTAAGTATCCTTATCGTTTTTATTTATTTTATGAAAGAAATAGCTCTCAGTAAAATACTTCACAGGATATCCCTGTACAATCCCAGCTGGCATGGAATATTTGAAAATTCTGCATTTCTCAATAAATCAAACAAGAAACCACAACCTCAATCAGAAAACCTTCATAAAATCCATCTATAGCTTGTAAATACTTATTTGACGGGTTATCTTTCATGTCATTTTCATTATCTTTTTTCCTTTGTGAAAATAGGTGCTTCTACGTATTTCAGAATATTTGTACCATCAATGGGAAGGAAGAAACAAAGGGTAGGGCATGAACACAGGAGTGTTATGAATTTGTGTTCTGTTAAAGGTTTTATGGCTTTGTACTGCTTTGTGTAGTATTTTCTACTAACACTTTTAGTGATTTAAAAAAATCACAGCTAAGGTTATATACCTAAGATCAATTCAGTTTCATCATATTTAGGAAATGTCTTTTATCAGGGGCTGGAAATACTGATACAATGCCTCAGAACACTTAACAAATACATACTTTATTGAGTGAATTTAGAGGAATCAGTAAGGGAAAAAACAAAAACAAAAAACTTGTTTTAAAAATGTATTTCCAGTGATAACATTTTATATTTAATTCCCTGAAAGAAAACTTCCTGGGCTATTGAAGTTCCATTAGAACGCTAAAGCAGATTAGCAGCATTTTGAGTTTAAGAGCACTGAGTTAAGGTCCCGGGTTTAAAGGCAGATCAGGAAAGCAAATTCAAGTAACTAAATTCTGGAGCTGAGTGGGCTCTTCACTTGCTGTATGAGCCCTTCAGCTGCATACTTCTAGGTTTCTCAACTGTAAATATTTTTGTTGAAAGCTTGATGACTAGAAATGATGACTAGCTCAGGTCATTTTATGATTCTGGGAGATTCCTGAAACAGTATTGCTTGGTAGTTCAGTCATTTTTTCTTGGTTAATCTATGATGATTATAATGACGTTATTAACATTTGTGTAGTAGCTAATAAAATCAGCTAACAGGAACTGATATATATATATTTCCAATTTGCTCCATCAGATAAGATATCTCAACAAATTATTTAATTAAAAGATGTGCTAAACTCTTAACTACATATTTTATGTCAATATAGCTTATTTACTAGGTATATGAAATTAGTTTTCAGTTACAGGGCATACAATTATTAATCTTATGATCATGGGCAAGTTACCTGAAGTCTTAAATACTTTATTTGTTAATTAAATGAGGATAATAATTCTTATATCATAGATTTGTTATGGAAATTAAATAAAATGATAAACGAATGCAATGTAAGTAATTAATGGAATAAGCCTATCTTTATTGTTTTGTAGACCTGGAGGTTTTATCCACATAAAGATTTTGTTTCTCAGTTTATATAAGCTATTTTATGGATGAAGTCAGTATTTATAAAAATCACTAAAAGAACTGTTAAAATGTATTCTACTCCATAATTCCAGTTGTTTTTAACAAGCAACTTAAATAATTCACACAAAAGGCAATTATTCGGGACACATACATTTTCCTCTAATAATGGTCTCCAAACTAGATGATTATAAAAACCAAGTGCATCTTTGAAAAAAAAAATTATAAGTGTTCTGATTTGGCAGATCTAGAGCGAAGCCTTGCAACTTGAGTTTTCAAAGAATTGCCTTGCTGAGTTTGGTGTTTGAAAACCACTGCTTTACAGCTTCTCTGTGCCCTTAACATTTTCCTGATGAAGTGATTTGGCTGTGCTTTGCATATGTGGATGAGGGCATTGAGTTACGCGTATGTGCTTTAGCTAGTCCAGATCAAGTTGTGCGAAGGAAAAGGATGAGTTTGGGCATCTATATCACATACATTAACATTGACCTTCTTCTCACTCTTGGTTGTATAGCTGCTAACTAAATTTATGTGTCAACCCCTTAAGAGGCAGATTTTCTTAGCCAGAAAAGAATATTGTAGGTTTTCTAGTTCAAACCTGTTATTTCAAAGAGGATTGTAGACTCAGAAATTTGTCCAAGACCACAAGATAAAACAAGGAATAACAATTGGATTGTTGCTCCATGCTCAGTTCCATTTCCATCATAATTAGATGACATTTTCCATTTCAGTTACATGTAACACCTTGAAACCAACCTCTCTCTAGCTGACTGTAGGTTTCAGAGCCTGCAGAAAGTACTCTGTGAGTCATCTTACCTGTCTAGCTGTTTGAAAGGGCAAGTGTCTTCCTTTCCAACTCTAGTTTTTCATCCTGAAGAAAAAGAAGCAAGCAAGCAGGCAGTCTGCTGAGGGGTTAGCAGTACCAGCAGCCGCAGCTGTTCTAGTTTTTCTGTCTTCTGCATTGCCTTCTTGACTCTTTACCTTGGTCAGAACCATGCCTGCTCTCAAACTCCATACCTTTATCTTGCAGAGTCATTCTCATTTTAGTCTGTCTTATGTTTGCATCATTTTTTTCCTGGGCATTCCTTACATCACTTCAATTGTCCTTATTTGGACACTGTTTGGCTCTGTTGTGACATAAAATATTACTTTTGGCTCTGTTGTGCCAATAAATATTACTTTATCCCAAGGACAATCCTAGGTATACACAATGTAAAATATATCCAGTATAGTCTTAGTTGCAGAAGAATTCACAGTATCATGAGGAAGGAGACTGGCGTGATAAATGTTGAGGAATGCATTAGTGAGTTTCACAAGAGCACAAGGGCTGTAGCATCCACTTGCTAGGAAAGTCAAAGAACACTGTGGAGAGTAGGTCTTACTGGTTAGTTTTAGGGACAAAAATGATAGCCATTGTATAAATATACAACATATTGAAACCACCTGAAGACAATAGTGTTAATAAGACTTATCACAGCAAACTCAAATTAATGAGATAGTTGTTGCTGTCATGGGGAGGGGCACCACAACACATGGCAAGAGACCTGCACCATCTTCTCATACCACCACCTCCATCCTGTGTGAACCTAGGCAATCTTAGGATATAGGCCTGACCATTCCCCCTTTCAGTTCACTGAGATAATAAAATAAAAGGCTACTTTAATTTTTCATGGGAAATAGAATTTAAATATGTTTATTTTAGAGTAAACATTTTTGAAATTCATGCATTCAAGGGGTCTTCAAAAACTTCATGAAAAATGTATATTCTAAAAACATGACTGTGCATGGATTTCAATTTTTTTGCACCAAAATAAACTTATCTTTAAATTCCATACACTTTAAAAACATCTAATTAATTTATTTGAGAGACAGAGAAAGAAACAGAAGAGAGAGAGAGCTTTCATTTGCTTGTTCATTCCCCAAATGCACACAATAGCTAGGATAAGAACCAGGAGCCAGGAACTCAGTTGAGGTCGCCCAAACAAGTGGAAGGAACCTAATTACATGAGCCATTACCATTGCTTCCCACTGTCTGCATTGGCAAGAAACTGGAGTCAGAAAGCCAGAGCTGAGAATTTAACCAAGGTATTCCAATGTGAGATGTGGGCATCCACTCTGCTAAATGCCTACTCCTTTTCCAGGGACTTTTTGCATGACCTTTGTGCATGTTATAGACTGTTATACACACTTGACATACAGTCAGATGAAGGAATGAAGAACTCATAATTCACAGGTAAAGAGCTAAGGCCTCAGCTTGAGTAGTGGTGACTCGGTGGAGGAGCTGTATATATCAGTGGCCTAAATCTGGAGGTGAAAGGAAACAGACTATGAGTTACAGATCCTTAATGGGGAGCAGTTTCTTTCAACTGCTGGACCAGAGGCAGGGAGGGCAACAAGAAATAAAAAAATGAAGGGAAGTAAGGAGAAGATAGATCATGAAGGGTATTGTAAGCCATCCTTAGAATGGGGCGAGTTTGTCCTGGTGTAAAGGATGATGATAGCTGAGGTGGCTAAGATTTGCTCGATTAGTGTCAAGAATGGACTGGGCCGGCGCCGCGGCTCACTAGGCTAATCCTCCGCCTAGCGGCGCCGGCACACCGGGTTCTAGTCCCGGTCGGGGCACCGGATTCTGTCCCGGTTGCCCCTCTTCCAGGCCAGCCCTCTGCTGTGGCCCGGGAGTGCAGTGGAGGATGGCCCAGGTGCTTGGGCCCTGCACCCCATGGGAGACCAGGAAAAGCACCTGGCTCCTGGCTCCTGCCATCGGATCAGCGCGGTGCGCCGGCCACATCGCGCTGGCCGCGGCGGCCATTGGAGGGTGAACCAACGGCAAAGGAAGACCTTTCTCTCTGTCTCTCTCTCACACTGTCCACTCTGCCTGTCAAAAAAAAAAATAAAAAAAAATAAAAAAAAAAATAAAAAAAAAAAAAAGAATGGACTGAAGGGTAACACAACAGAGAAAAGATGAATCAGTGAAGAGAGTAATCCAAGCCAGAGAGATTAGTGATCTTTACTAGAGTAATTTTTTTAAATTTTAAGACTATGCAAATTTATTTTATAGGCCTATAAGTCAGAAACCTTGCATGGTTGTTATGAGGCTAAAATAAGGTTATCTGCAGTGCTGTCAGCCTCTATAAATTGGAAAAGTGAAGGAAATAAATTATCCACTGGAGCCTCCAGAATGGATGCAAACTAGGGTGTTGAAAGAAGATGAAGAGAACAGTCTGTTGGTTAAAGATCTGTTTAGAGACTAGAGTTTATGACTTGATGTATGTGAAGGAGTGTGAGGAAGAATGTGAGGGAGGGGGATGCCTCCTGGATTTTTGGATTTATGCAACTGGGTGGATTACAATTCACTGAAAAAGAAAATCTAGGCGGAGGAACAGATTTCAAAAAGGGATGAAGCTCTCTAGGAGTAGGGAATGAAATCAGCTGACCTGTCCTCTTGCTCTTTATTATTAACGGGCCTTTCACAGGCTGAGAATAGTACATACACTGTCTTGCTTACTCTTCTAACCTGTTCAACATATTATTTTGTGAACTCTAAAGATGTGGAAGTTGAGGTTCAGAGAACGTAGAGTGCCTTGCATAAGGTGTCTTATTTAATGAGTAATTACTGAAGCCAAAAGTTCACACCAGAGTTCTAATCCATGTGTGTTTCATTCCAAAGCACATGTACCTTACATATAGTGCCGTGAAAATAGGTCAATTGCAGAACATAAATAACTTGAGATTTATGTATTTCTGAATATAATTCATAAAGTCATATAATTCTAAGTCTCCATCATCTCCCACTTTGAATTCTGCTTTTCTTGTTTTCTAATATATTGCAGCCAAAGTCACCTTTCTAAAATTCGATTTTTATTATCAATTAAATCTTTCAGTTACTTCTCATTTCTACTAGGACAGATTAAATCCCTATTATCTGT